AGTTTGGCAGTTTAACTGATTTTTATGGATGAATGTCTGTTTTTTCGTCAATATCTCAAATTTCCCAAGATAAAAAACTCTTATCTTCGTAATTATAAAGCCTTTGAGTCGAAAGTTACGTAATTAATGTGCGTGCATTAGATTGCTATTGAAGATGATGAAACTATTCTCTAGAGGAAGTGGTGATGGAAGGTATTCGTGGTCGGTGTTTTAATATCATGTTAATCGTCAACCCCTCCCAACCCCCCTCCCCCCTCCTCCTCTTTACCTTAATTTAGAACTGAATTGGGTCGTTTTAAATATTTATTTATTTCAAATGGCAGGCGTTTTGATAGATATCATTAGCCATTTAGCTGACTTCGGGCTTCACAGAGGGAAGGTTCATCAAAGTTGCCGAAAGTCGAGTGGTGGGGAACAGAAGAGCGATTCACAGCTCTAAAAGAGGCAGACAGACACAAAAGTAGAGAAAAAGGTAAGGTGAGTACTGTGAAGGGGTCGAATATGACAACCAGGGGGGTCGTGGTAGTTGGAAGTGGGAAGTCAACTGCCGGTTAATAGACTTTTTTGCCGTATGAGTATACGTTGCCCAGGGTGCACCACGTGGAGGTAAGTCTATCGCACACCCCCGTTTTAAATATCTTGTACTGAGAAAAAATTTGGGAGTCAGCATTCGTTACCGAATATCCACCTTTAGTCAAGTACCTAAAATGGTATAAGAAATGAGTTCCAGGTTGCTAAACCTAAAATTCGATATTATATTATTTATTTTTACTTCCCTTGTTTATGTTTATTTTCTATGTAAGTATATACTGACTGTTTAACAGGTCTCCTTTTTCTCTCTTATCTTTAGCAATATATAGAGAGAATGCAAGCCTTCTTCTACCGCCTTTACCACGAAATCATCCAACAAGGAATTCAAACCATCCTCAGCCTAACCAAATCCTCTAAACGTATGTTCACACTCACACTCACCCTCTTCTCTCTAATCTCTATCTCCTCTCCGTTTAGATGATTCGAATAAAAACGACGGAGACAACTGCTCTGTTCTTGTGGTGTCCCAGAGTAACGCCTTGAAGCAATTTAAGCCAGTCTTTGAGAGCCGTATGGATCAGTTGCGATCCTTGGTAACTAGCGAGGAAGTATTCATCATGGAGTTCTTCTGTTTGGATAACTGCAAGGATGAAATGGACACCTTCGCTTGCATGAAACTCCTTTTCAGTGGCCTTCCCGATGGCATGAGTGAACTTATTCGACTCTGTGAGAACCAGAATGCCCTCTTCTCCATGTTTATTCTCCAAGTTCTCTCGCAAATCGCTACTGAGATTAACGAGAAACCGAAAGACTCGAACAAGAGTCTTGCTGGATCATTTTGGAGCCAACTGATTAAACCCTGCATTGCTGATACACGAGCGGTTCTACAGAAACACGTCGTAAGTTGTGGTGGATAGCATGTTTTAATCCTGTTACTCCTTCTAGCAATCGCTGAATCTACTCTTCCGAGAGAGTAAACCTAGTAGAAAAGCGAGATGTGGCGTACTCAATATGACGAAGGTGTATGAGAACTTCGCCGAGTCCTCACTCCTGGTTTTTGGTTCTGGCGCTAAGATTATGGAACAGGCTCATAGTGATCTCATTTGCTGCCTCATGAATGAACTGGATCGGGTGGCATCGGAAAGTGTGAAAACGCCACCGGAGGTTGTTCTACTAGGCACGTGTCCTGTTACTGTTAAATAGTAATTGTTCGCTTGAGCTTAATTTTGTCATTAATACACGCTATTTCCAAAGAACCATTTGAGTGAACATCAATTATAGAAGAGCTCGAAATTATCTCTTTTGATGCCTGACCAAGATGAATGATTCTTAGCTGTATCATTTATTTATTTATATCAAATGGCAGGCGATTTGATGGTTATCATTAGCCCTGGAGCTGACTTCGAACTTCACAGAGGGGAGGAGGAACATCAAAGTGAGAGAAATTGAAGAGGGGGACCGAAGAGTGATATTTGTAGATGTAAAAGAGACAGACGCAATGATAGAGAGAGAGAGAGCCATGAAAAGTAAATAGCGAAAGAGAGTCGTGAAGCTTGTGATAATATGCTTATGTGCTTTCATTAATAGCATCAGATGTATGTCCTTTTCAAATCTCTTTTTTCTGCTGTGGTTGTTTATAGAGAACTATCATCGCTTATATGATATTCTCTGCCGGTTAAAGCTTCCATCACTGAACGACACTCGTAAAGAGGCGAAAGCGAGATATCAACGAGCCCTACAAGAATACTCCATGAACTGCATGGGTCGACCCTTGGAGGAACTTCACGTAAGTTGTAAAATAACCCGTTTTCTCTTTTCAATCTTTGAAGTATCCACAATTTTGCCTTCCGGGTGGCGCATAACTTGATTCACGTTCTAGCTCATTTAGGCTAATGTAAACTAATGGAATGTGTTTGGACAAATGGGGACAATTTTCTTTTATGGCTTCTCAGCTACTCCTTGACTAAAGCCAGAGCTACTCAAGCTGCTCAAGGGAGAAGAAAAGGACGAAGTTATGGTTCAAATGGCAGGCTTTTATGTTCCCCATATTTACTTATTATTTATTTATGTCAAATGGCAGGCTTTATGATAGTTACCAGTAGCCCTTTAGTTGACTTCTTGCTTCACAGGGGGGGGGGGGGGAACAGAAGAGTGATTCGCATA